TGAATAATTCAGTCACTGCTCTTCACATGTTCACACCTCTCAGGGAAATGGCTAAGAGCAGGAAGAGATGAGATGGTGTGACCTTGAGGGAATGCTAATATGCAGGGCAGTGGCTTGCAACTTTGCACATTAGAATCACTTAAGTCAGATTACTGGGTGGGGGACCCAGACGCCAGCAGAGCTTAAGCTTCCCATCCTATCCCAGTGCACGTTAGGAACAAAGATAACAGAAACACCTAATGGATGTGATGCAGTGGTTCTCAAAGTGTAGTTCCCCATTAATCATATCACTAGGGAACTCTTTAGAGTTACAAATTCTCAAGCTCCTTTTCCCAGACCTACTGAATCAAGCGTTCTGGGGGCAGGGCTCACCACTCTTCTTTAACCAGCCGGCAGGTGACTGATGCATAGCCAAGTTTGAGACTCACTGGTGTAATAGATTGGTTGGGTTGGCAACACCTGAACCCAATGACCAATCAGCATCACTAAAAGAGATAACCAGACATTATGTGCTGCTAATATGAAGCAACAGGAAACACTACTTATAAAGTGGCCTTGACAAGAAATGAAACCCAACATTGACCGAGTCTTTGGATGTAACTGTGCGCACAGGGTATGGAGAAATGTGTTCAACAGCTACCTGGATGCAATCAGGAAAAAACACAGGAAATGCTACATGCTAAATTATCTGGTTTCTCACATTAACTCAAAATGCATCAAAGACCTAAACATTAAGAGCTAAAACTATAAAAACCTTAGAAGAAGGCTGGGTGCGGTGGCGCATGCCTGTAATCCCAACACTTTGGGAGGCTAAGGCGGGAGGATCATGAGGTCAGGAGTTCAAGACCAGTCTGACCAACATGGTGAAATCCCATCTCTACTAGAAATACAAAAATTAGCTGGGCATAGTGGCACGTGCCTATAATCTCAGCTACTTAGGAGGCTGATGCAGGAGAATTGCTTGAACCTGGGAGGCAGAGGTTGCAGTGAGCCATTGCACTCTAGCCTGGGAAACAGAGTGAGACTCCATCTCAAAAAAAAAAAAAAAAAAAAAAAAAAAAAAAAAAAAAAAAAAAAAAAAAAAAAAAAAAAAAAAACAGAAGAAAACAAAGGGCAAAATCTTCACAACATTGGGCTTGGCAGTGATTCCTTGGTTATGACACCAGGAATAGGCAACAACAACAAAATACACAAATTGTACTCATGGAACTTAAAAACTTGTGTGCATTTAAGGATACTAGCAACAGAGTGAAAAGGCAACATATGGAATGAGAGAAAGTGTTTGCAAATCTATCTGATAAGGTGTTAATATTGAGGATGTATAAAGAACTCCTACAACTCAACAGCAAGCAAGTAAACAATTCGATTTGAAACAATCTGATTTAGTGCACTGTTGGTAGGAATGTAAAATGATGCAGTTGCTATGAAAAATAGTACAGCAGTTCATCAAAAATTTAACAGCAGAACGATCATATGATTCAGCAACTCCACTTCTGGAATATGCAGGCTTAAAGAAATGAAAGCAGGGTCTGGAAGGGATATTTGCACACTCATGTTCATAGCAGCATTATTCACAATAGTTTAAATGTGGAATCACCACAAGTGTCCATCCACAGATGAACAGATCAGTGCAATGTGGTATATTCATACCATGGAATATTATTCAACCTTCAAAAGGAAGAAAATTCTACTTTGGGAGGATGAGGTAGATTGCTTGGGTTCAGGAGTTCAAGACCAGCCTGGGTGACAGAGCAAGATCTCATGTGTAGTAGAAATTAAAAAAAAAAAATTTGCTGGGCATGGTGGCACACACCTGCAGTCCCAGCTGCTCAAGAGGTTGAGGTGGGAGGATCACTGGAGCTCAGGAGTTAGAGGCTGCAGTAAGCTATAATTACGCCACCGCACTCCAGTCTGGGTACCTGACAATATTAAAGAATTGTTGTCATCAGTGTGATAATAATATTGTGCTTATATTAGAGAGTCTTTATCTTTTAGAGACATATGCCTAATATCCACAGATGAAATGATATAACATCCAGGATTTATTTTAAAATACCTTGGCGTTATTGAACAGAGGAGGAGAAAATGAGGGGGTAGAGATGAAACAGGCTGCTGATGGCTACTGAAGGTGGCTCAGGGTACATGAGGATTCACTGGAATCTTCTCTTTAATTTTGTATGTGTCTTTAAATTTCCTTTGTACAAGATTTACTCAAGAAAGAAGCAGGAGAGCACAGAGGTGGCCCAGGCTCTGGAGCTTGACTGTCAGGGTTCGAATCTTGGCCCTAAACAGCCCTGTGCAATGCAGAACCTCTAGTCCCACAAGACTTCTAAATTAAAGCTAAAATCAAATAAAGTGTAAAATCCAGCTCCTTAGTCACACTAGCAACATTTCAAGAGCTCAAAAGCCACATGTGCTTAATATTCACAGATGAAGCCATATAAGCAACAGCGTAATTATAGAGCACACCCATCACTGAACAAAGTTCTGCTGGACAGCGCCGCTCTAACATTTCCTATCTGCCACCCTGGGCAAGTTAATGTGTCTATTTCCTCACCAGGAGAATCAGGTGCTACAAGTACCAATAATAGGTCACATCTATATTGCTGATTAGGTGTTTAGTATATTCTACATACGAACTCAAACCTCATGCAAATACTATCATCACCCCATTTTTAAGATGAGGAAACAGAGTACAGAGAAGTTATGTAACTTGCCTAAGATCACACAGCTAGTTAGTGGCTGGGCTGGAATCCAGGCCAGGCTGTTCAGTCGCAGGTCCACACTCTCTAGCAGGGGTGCCTGGACACTTACAGGAGGTGATACACACAGCATGTGAAGTCACACTTGGTGCATACTTAGTGTTCAACAGACGTTGGCTAGTAAGATTGTTGTGGTCCTAATGTATACAGGACACTGAGATGTGATTTAACACACACAACCAGGTATATGCTGGGGGCCCAACATTTTGGGGATCTAAATAAAAATCCCAAACCAGAAAGCATAAAGCAGCCTGCCAGGGCCTGAGTAGCTCGTGAGAGTTCCAACCCCTGGTGCTCACCATGATGATGAGGAACAGACACACACATGCAGAAGGCTCGCTGACAATCCCTGCTGGATGAGAAGAATCCAAGAGAGTGCATTTGTGCTTCTCCGGGCTGGGCTCTGCCACGTGGAGGCCAGAAGGCCCCGCCCTACCCTGGTGCTGAGGGGCCTGGGATGGGGTGGAGGAGCAGGGGAAGAAACCCTTTGCTTCTTTTCCATCAGCACAGCCCAGGCAGGGAAGCAGGAGCGCAACCATCCAGGAACCCTCACGAGTGAGGGTTGTTGATCATCAACAAGGGAGGCAGAAGCGGTCTGCAGCCGGCAAACACAAACAGCCCTGTCCTCAGGTCTCCGCCTTCCCCGCCCCTGCGCTGCCCATCATTCTGGTCCAGCACAGATGCCTCCCTGCAGGCCCACAGGAAGTACAGATTGAGTCAGAGAGTGAGCCAAGACAAGGCCTCTTTCTTCCTGATGAGATTAGGCCTGCGGGAGTGCCTCCTCCCTACATCTGACACTGCCCAGAGCCACTGTCCCTGGACTGGCCTCCTTCTGCTGCCCTGCCTCCTCCCCAGCCAGCCCTGCCCCCCACAGCCCCTACTTGCTCTCTACTCCTCTCCCAGGCCATGCCAAGGCCTCAGCAGCCTTCTCTCTTGGGGATTCAGGCCTGGAGTATTCCAACCCCAACTCTGGCCCTGCCCTTTCCCTTGAAACCCACCCCGGGCCTCCTCTGTCCTCAGGATGAAGTCCACTGCTGGACTTGGGTTTTGAGGTCTCTACATTCCCCCTGAGTCCCTGATCTCCTTCTCATCTCCACGGACCTGTTCTCTTTCCCCTCAAAGCATCACGTTTTTCAAAAGAGAAGGGGAGAAGCAAAAAGAAAATAAAGAAGCATCATGTTTTCCTAGATAATCCATCTTTGCTCACACCCCTTCCCTCTACCTAGAACTAAGCCAGCCCAGGTAAGTCACTGGGTGGCGCTTAGCGGGGCTCTTAGGATGCCCCTTCCTCTCACCCCACCTTCCTGGCCCAGCTCCAACAGAATCACCTCCAGGGAGCCTCCCACCTCCCAGACTGAGCAGCCTCTCCATCCCCTGCGGTCCCATCCTGACACTTGGGGAGGTAGCCAAGGGCAGGGAAAAAGAAGGCACCAGCTTCAAGCCCTGGACCCCTGTTTGTCTCTGTACCATAACATTAGAGTATCCTAATATTTTTCTCATAGAATCTAGCAGATTAAATGAGATCATGTACATAAGGACTTGGCATGTGTCTGGCACAACGTAGGAGCTCGGCTCATGGAAGCGCCCCTCCCTTCCTCCTTTCCTGCCCACTGTGTTTTTCCCTTCTCTTCCTTCCTCCCCCACTGACACAACCCGAGGACTGTCAACCCCAGATGGTTCTCCCCTTCTGCTGCGCCCACCTACAGCCCTGTGGGGACCTAGGGGGAGGCGCACCTGACTCCCAGCTCGAGCTTTCACTCACACCAGAAGCTTCTTCCGAATCCCACCTTGGGGTGCTAGGAGCCAACGGGCTGGGCCCATCACTGTCATAGCGGTATGCTGCTCAGGCTGGAGAATCTTAATTCTTTTTTTTTTTTTTCCTTGGTTTTTCTTTTTTTTTGAGACAAAGTCCTGCTCTGTTGCCCAGGCTGGAATGTGATGGCGCGACCTTGGCTCACCGCAACCTCTGCCTCCGGGGTTCAAGTGATTCTCCTACTCAGCCTCCCGAGTAGCTGGGATTACAGTGCCCACCACCACACCCAGCTAATTTTTGTATTTTTAGTAGAGACAGGGTTTCACCATGTTGCCCAGGCTGATCTTGAACTCCTGACCTCAGGTGATCCACCTGCCTTGGCCTCTCAAAGTGCTGAGATTACAGGTAATCCTGGGCAAATCTCATCCCCTCTCCCACTTTCTGTGTTTCTATCCACATGATAGTAACAGCCCTGCCCTGCCCACCTGTTAGGATGATCTGTGAGGGCGCTGCAGCCTGCACACGCCAGACACACGCAGGACCTCGAGGGCGGCAGAGCTTGTCCACCTGTCAGCCGTCCTCAGAAGGCTGGTCCCCTTCCTGCCTAGGCCTTCTGAAGACACAGCAGAGCTTCCTTCTGTTTAACCCCCCAAATCAGGATCTGACAAAACTCCACACAGGTTTATTGCCCCACAATCTCCTTATCTGGGAGTTTTGAGTGACAAGGGTCACTGGGGATTTTCCAAGATGCCTCCAGAGGCTGAAAATCTGGGCTCCACTTCCTGCTCACTGTCCACTTTCTGGCACAGAGCTTTCGGGCCTGTCTTTGGACAGAGAAGGACACTGAGGCCCAGAGAGGGAGAATGCCTTGCTTAGGGTCCCACAGTCAGCCCGAGGCAGGGCTGAAGCTCTGCAACTCTGGTCCTGGGAAGGGCATCCAACCAGGGGCCCTGCATTCTGTTCTCAGTATGGACCCACAAATCAGCCCTCACTCTGCCTGCCTCAGGGACCGGGGGCCCAGAGTCAGTTCAGCTGACATCATCAGTGCCTACTCTGAGTCTGATGCCATGCTGGGCACTGTAAGGGAGACACATGATGGACCCAGACAGGGTCAGTTATGGGGGAGCTCAGAGGATGGGGGAGGCCCCCATGTAACCGGCAAGCTCAATTCAGGGTCACCAGGGCTAAGGCCAGCACTGCAAGTTGCAGCAGGGAGATGGAAATTAGGGGACTCAGGGTGGGCCTCCGGGACGACACGGTTGAGCTGAGCCTTCAAGGCCAAGTAGAGCAAGCCCAGCAGAGGAGGGAAGGGGAGGCACCTGGGTAGAAGGTGCTGTGCTAGGCCACGCCTGGCCATGTGTGGTGTGCGGAGATGGAGCTAGGAGCTTTCGGTCGTGGGTGGGAGGCTGGGTCTCGGCAAATGCAGGCCAGTAATGGGGCTGCGGCTGGGAGAGGGGCTGTGGGGGCAGGGGGATGCTGACGAGATGGCACCTGAGACAGTGGGGAGGCATCAAAGTTTGTAACCGGGGGTGTGACATGGTCAGAGCCAAAGTAGACTTAGCCCCTGCAATCAGGAAGTTAGGACATTGAGCCTGGGAAACGATTTTCTTTCCTCAACTTTGGCTGGTATCTAAGGAAGACATAAGTGGGTTTCATTTCAAGTCCAGCTCCAGTGGGCTGGAGGGGTTGCAGAATGCCATGAGGAGAGGGAGAGCTCTGAGGCCTTCCCTGTTGGACTCAGGAGGAAAAGGGTGTGACTGCCCTGGGGCAAGAGTCCCCAGATAGCACTGAGGGCCCGCCTGCTCCTGCAGATGCTGGCAGCCCCGCACCCCACTTGTGAACTCGGCCCCGCACCCCATTTCCGAGCTCGGCCCTGCACCCCACTGTGAACTCGGCCTCACACCCCACTTATGAGCTTGACCCCACACCCCACTTGTGAACTCAGCCCCACACCCCACTTCCAAGCTCAGCCCTGCACCCCACTTCCAAGCTTGGCCCCACAGGGGGAAGGGGATGGGAAGTTCTTTTCCACCACTCTCTCAGCTGCTTGTTAACAGGAAGAGAAATGCCTCTGCTCGCCCTCCATCAGTTCCCCAGCAGGGTCTCCAACAGCTGGCAGGACAGGATGGCCAGGCATCTCCTCCCTGCCTCCCACCCCCAGGAGCTCCACCTAAATTGTTTGTTCAGGCTGGGCCTGCAGGCCAGGGAAGTTAGGAGGCCAGATTGCCCTTCTCAAATTTCAAGTGCCAGCAGCCAGGGCTTTTGAGGATGAAAAGAGGGCAGGAAAGATGTCGGTGCCGCTGTGGGAAAAGAACTTCCGCCCACAAGCCTGGCTGTGAGGAAGGGTGACAGCATCACATTTACATGTGTTTGCCTGCTGTCACTGCAGATCGTCTGAGCATGCTCAGAGTCACCTGGAGGGCTGGAAAACAACAATCCCAGGTGGTGGCTCACTCTTCAAACTCAGCACTTTAGGAGGCCTAGGAGGGAGGATCGCTTAGGGCCAGGAGTTCCAGACTATCCTGGGCAACATAGCGATTCTGTCTCTACAAAATCAAACTAACAAACTGCCATTGTTGGGCCCACCTAGAGTTTCTGATTCGGCAGAGCGGGTGGGAGCTGCGAGTCTGCACTTCCACCAAGTTCCCGGGTGACTAGGAAGCTGCTGGCACGGGGGCCACTCTTTGAGAACCACTACTCTGCAGCCCAGCAAATGATTCACAACTGTGGCTCAGTTTACCCCTCACAACCACCTGGGGGTGGGGAGGATTATCTCCTCTTCATGAGTGTGGCTGGGGCACTCTGCAGAGCAGCCATGTCATTTTTTTGAGGTTACGCGATTACTAAGCAGCAGGAACCCCTGTCTAAACTTCAAGGGTTCCATGAGCACTCAACCACCCCCCAACTTGGTGGCCACTTGCAGCTCTGCTCCTTGGCTTCCTTTTTTTTTTTTTTTTTGAGACGGAGTCTCGCTCTGTTGCCTAGGCTGGAGTCCAATGGCGTGATCTTGGCTCACTTTAACCTCTGCGTCTTGGGTTCAAGCAATTCTCCTGCCTCAGCCTCCCAAGTAGCTGGGATTACAGATGCTCACCACAATGCCCGGCTTAATTTTTGTATTTTTAGTAGAGATGGGATTTCACCATGTTGGTCAGGCTGGTCTTGAACTCCTGACGTCATGATCTGCCCACCTCAGCCTCCCAAAGTGCTGGGATTATAGGCACAAGCCACCCCCCGGCACCTTTGGCTTGCTTTCTTAGGTCTTCTCAATATATAAATTGCATGCTCTGAGTCCAGCACTCCATTCTTCTTCTCATGGTGCTCCACAGCCAAAACAAAATCCACCAGTTGTGTCTGCTGTCCCATCACAGCTTCACAGCCCAGTACAGGTGCTTAAGATATGGGCTTCAAAGTCAGAGAAACCTGGGTCCAAATCCAGACTCCCTCCTCTTCTGTAAGTCTTGGTACCACACTGCCAGGTTGCTATGAGATGGGCAAGGAACTTAAGAGCGTGTAGCACATGGTAAAGTTCTCAATAAATGGCAGCAACCAGGGGGCCCAGGCTTGGACCAGGGAAGCATTTGAGTAGCTTTTCTAAATCTCTCTGTGCCTCCGTTTCCTAAGTTGTAAACTGGGGTCCATGATGGCACCTACCTTATAAGGGAGTTGTTCACTCATCTAAAATGCCTCAGAGCAGTGCTCGGCAGGAACCCAGCCAGGTGTTAGTCTCCTACATGTATGTTCCTGTTTTGTCAAATATATTTCAGTCTGAACATACACTCTTCATTGACACATGTAAACAAAAACATTAACAAATAGAGTAGGCTACTGTGAAGTCGAAATGTAAAAATCTTGGCAGCGATGGTGATATGGTTTGTCTCCGTGCCCCCACCCAAATCTCATCTTGAATTGTCATCCCCACGTGTGGAGGGAGGGACCTGGTGAGAGGTGATTTGATCATGGGGTGGTTTCCCCCAGGCTGTTCTCATGTCACTAAGGGAATTCTTGTGAGATCTGATGGTTTAAAAGTGGCAGTTTACCATGCGCGTTCTCTCTCTCCTGCGGCCCTGTGAAAAAGGTACCTGCTTCCCCTTCACCTTCCGCCATGATTGTAAGTTTCCTGAGACCCCCCAGCCATGAGGAACTTGAGTCAATTAAACCTCTTTCCTTTATAAATGACCCAGTCTCAGGTATGTCTTTATAGCAGTGTGAGAGTGGATTAATACAGATGGCTGCACAATGGGAATGTACTTCACGCCACAGAATTGCATATTTAAAATTGGTTAAAATGGTAAACTTTGCTATGTATATATCACCATCATAAAAAAAATAAAGAAAACAGAAATAACAGCACCTAGGCATAAGCACACAGCTTTCCTGTGCTCGCTGGCAGCTACATCTCTGCTTCCAAGTTGGTTTCCTCAGAGCTCCTACTTCTTTTAGCCCTTTCCAACCTGAGTTGGTCCCTGGTGTGACTTCAAATCAGGGTGCGGGGTGTGGGTTGGCCCTCCTTGTCTGCTTCCCCTTTCACTCCTGGCTATTCAGGGCCATCTCTGCCAGGGCCCCAGCAGAGGGGCTCGGTGGGATGAGGAGGCCTTGCCATTTCCCCAGACACCGGGAGCATTCCTGCCTCAGGACATGCCTGGATGACATTTCCCCAGGCCCCTGGCAGAGTGGTGGCTCTTCCCACCAACCTCCCTCCTCCTGATGAAGGAAGGTCCCCTTGAAGGACCAGGATCCCTCAGTCAGCACCAACTCTCACTGGGCTTCAGTGGGGAGCCCTGCTCTGTGCAGGGAGGGCACATAGATAGTCCAAGGCCAGTGACCCGGCTCCAGTAGGCTCTGCCCCCTTTTGCTGTGTGATGCTGTAAAAGCCCCTCTCTGGGGTCCAGTGTCTCAACCCATTAAATGGGCATGAGCATCCCTGCCTGTCACCCTCCAGAGGCTGTAGGGGTACTCTGAGGGAGAATGGATGCACAGGCCTGGTTTACTTACTACACAGTGCAATTGCATCGAGAGGCAGCGGCACAATGGCTACTCACATGGGGGCAACCCACCTGCCAGGCTCAGACATCAACCCTACCACACACCAGCTGGGAGACACTGGGCCAGTTATCTACCTCTCTTGGCCCTAGGTTTCCTCATATGTAAAATGGGGATGATAATAATAAATGGGTTAATATCTGTCAAGCACTTAGAACCCAGCCCGGCACACGACAAACTCAAAGTAAGTATCTATTAAATAACTAAACTCAAAATAATAAATAATGGTAATAACTCTTACTGAGTACTCACTGTGAGCCAGGCACTGTCCTAAGCTATTTATCTGTATTCATGGATTGAAATGAACATTTAATAAAAATAAATATGGGCTTCAAACAGGGCTTACAGATTAAACTAGAAGCACAAAGTGTTCATGGTCCTTTCTTTTTCCTCAAAGCAGCAACATCTAAAGATCTAAACTTTCAGGGGAGGGGTGAAGGCTGTCACCTGTGCTGGGAGGCACCAGAAGCCTCAGAACCAAAGAAAGCAGAGAGAGCCTTGGGCCCCTTATCAACCCATGAGTGCTGATTTAGAATCTAAAGCTCTAATTCTTCCATTTTTAGCCAGACCCACTAACTCTCTCTCAAATGATCTTATTA